GGCAAAGAGACTCATAAGGGCATTGATAATCTATTCCATGAAATCCTGCAAGAAAACTTTCCAAACCTAGAGAGGCACTCAAAGATCCAGTCCCAAGAAATACAAAGGACCCCAAGTAGAATCCCAAAAATATCTTCTCCAATACACATTATAGCCAGACTGACCAAAACCACAGATGAAGACAAGATACTAAGATTGGCGAGAGAAATGGGAAGTTACCTACAAAGGATATCCCATCAGACTAACAGCAGACCTCTTATTGGAAACAATGCGAGTGAGGTAAGAATGGGAAAGTATATTCAAAGTGTTAAGGGAAAAGCAATTTCAACCAAGAATACTGTACCCGACAAGGTTATCCTTCATATTGGAAGAAAAGACAAGAACATTCTCAGATAAACAAAAGGTGGAAGAATTTACCAGTGCCAGACCAGATCTCCAAGCAGTTCTCGAGGAGTGCTATGTCAGGAAAATTAGATACAGACACACAGACATAAGAGTTCAAAAACTAAGAAAATGGCCAACTTAATCATAGGGACAAGTCTGTAGTTGAATATTATATCCCAGAATTTAATTGGGAAGATCGAACCACAACCGAAGATACAGTACATGAGACAGAACTGGTGAAATAGCATTTCTGTGACTTTTGATTAAAATATTGCTGCTTTTCTTCTAGGCTTTGTTGTCCAGTTTTAAGAGTTTTTGTCATGACGTGAGCGTCGATAGGTTCATGTACCTACTATCTGAACAGAATACTAACTGTTTCCAGGCTTTAAGTTTTAAGCAAATTTCATTACCAATTCAAACCTACTTTTCTTGAAATTACCAGCTGAACTTACTATTGAATGTAGTTAGATTATTTAAGAAATTGTGTGATTAATAAAATGTGGGGGGAAAAGGAATGGAAGACAACTGTAGACAGCAGAGATAGCGTGAGAAGAGGGTGGGAAAGGACAGAGGGTCAGACATAGGGGTAAATATATATATATATGAAACTAGAAGTGGAAAATTATTGATGATAACATGCATGATTAAGCCACTATGCAGTATATTCTGGATGGGAAACCACATATTGTATGCTGTGATGATGCTTAGGGGATGAATGTAAATTAATTAATTAAAAAAAAGTTTCAGGAGGAAAAAAAAGACAAAAACGTTTTTCTTGGAATTAAAAAATGCATATTTGATGACTGCAGTAAAGCTATATAGCCCCAATTAGGTGCTACTTTATAGTATGTTCATTCTATAGTATGTGCACTGAGATTTATGCCTAAAGTCAGAGTTGTGTTCATGGATATGTATATATCCGCTGCATTTGCTATTGGAAATAATTAGATTAATTAAGTTCATTAGCAAATCAATAAAATGGGGGGAAAAGGCATAGAAAGCAACCATGGATACCGGAGACAGTGTGAGAGGAGGGTGAGACATGGCAGAGGGTGGGAGATAGGGAATCAAGGATGACAAAAAACAGCAAAATATACAGGAAACAAGAAATGGAAAATTATTTGGTGACAATAACACGTATGTTGATGTGCATGATTGAGCCAATATACAGTGCATTCTGGATGGGAAATCTCATTTTGTATGCTGTAATGATGTATAGTGAATGAATGTAAATAAATTTAAATTAAAAAAGGTAAAAAAGAAAAACAAAAAAATAATAGTAACAAATGGAACTAAATAAATAAATAAGTCTTTTTGAATTAAATAAATAATTCTTTTAAGAAATGGAAAAAAATGTCAGGAGTATAACCTCACTCTAAGTAATATATTTGCTAAACTTACTCATGTATTACTCAGTCATTGTGACAGCAATTATATTTTTCTCAGGGAACTCAAACCATTTTATTTTTTCCCATTTCTCCTGCAATAAAATACGCACTCCACATTCATTAAATTGACTTTGTTCAAAAAATTATTAGTTAAGCAATGAATTGTAGAAAGATTTACTTGCCTAGGTTTTTATTAATAATATACTGTATCATTTAGTAAGTTTTGCTGGGCAGTCCTCCCCCACCCCCAAATCTGCCCTGTTTAAAATTTCTAGATAAATTGCTATTAGTAGAGGCAAGTTTTAGGAGGATCCTAATAAACTCTGATATATTTGACACATCTTGTACCCTGGTTCATCATATAGTACATCTACAAGTATAGACAACTTATACATCTGTTACTAAAGGATCTTTGTTATTTGCAAGAATTTGTTTTCTTCAAGAGTGTTGACTCTTTTTTTTTTTTTTTTTGAGAAGTTTTTCCTATAGGGCGTGTGCACTCGCTGGAAAGACAGAGAGAGACAGAGAGACAGAAAGCAGGAAATCACCCACCGGGGGGATGGCCACGCCACAATCCCTTCTCCTCCATTCTCCTCTCAGGATCTTGGGCACGCACGCACACGCACCCGGTGTGAGTTTAAGCCACAGGGTCTGGGACTCGAACTGCGGCGGTCGACTACATGGGAATCCAGCGACATAGCCATTATGCTAACTGCTGGTCCCAAGAGTCTTGACTCTTGAAAAGGCAGATTCTGCAGCTCAGTTAATCAAGTTGCCTCTGATGAAAGTGGTCTAGAAAGATGTCTGCTTTCTGTAAGAAAGGACCTGTGCCTACTGAAGCAGTCATTTGGTGGTGTAAGAAATCTCATTCTTCCAAAACTCTAGCAAACCTCAGAGGAAAGTATTCAAATTTTCAAACGTCCAAATTATTACCCTTTTTTTTTCTTCAATCCAGCCAACCCACAAACTGCAAAACAGCATACTAATCAAGAATAATTCTTCTTAAGCTACAGTGACAGAATTCTTGGTTCACACTCAAGAAATCCCAAATAAAAAATGTTATAGATATTTTCTATCTATGAAAATTTTGTCATCCCTAAACATTTGCTGAATTGATTATTAAATCTGTATTAACTAGTGCAAAAGGAAAAATTAGAAGGAAGGATAGGGTGGGGATGAGGCCACTTTTGAGGCTTGCTACCTCTTAGAGAGTGTTTACTATGTACCAGAGATTATGCTAGACCCTTTAATATATTATTTGTTTCATTATTATTTGTTTAATTGTCATAAAGAGAGTATGGGCTCTTTTACCAAGCCATCATCTCCACCCTGAGCCTTCTGAATGGTTAGGAGAGCGTGGAGTTTTTTGCCACCTCTAGGTAGCCTCCTCATAATTGCCTTCAGTGACTTGTGTTGAGTAATGGAGGCATTTTTAATGAATCTATACAGTGGCACCTGTGACTATGTTTTCAGACTTAATGATGTTGTAATCTAAGGATTTTGAGCACAGTGTGGGCACTAAGACCATCTTCTGTGGTTTCCCTGTGAACACCATGAAGAACTCTCTCATTTCCTACTGGAACCAGGGCTTTACCTCCATGCTATAAGGACAGGGCCTGAGCTGTATGTTAATCCTCTTAGACATCATGATGACACAGTGCTGAGATTGACCATTGTGGACATGCCTGCCCTAGAAGTGCTGAGATTGACCATTGTGGACATGCCTGCCCTAGAAGACCCTGATAGAGAACAGACTTCATACCTTTTCTGGATCAGAAGCCTATGTCAGTGAGTTCCAGCTACTATTGATGCATCCAGACATGGCCAACTGACAGGTTTTTGAGATCAAAGTTGTTTAATGCAGATTTTGGAGATCTAATTATGACTACTACTGGCACCCTCATGTGTGACTAGGTCAATGCTTGTAGATTCATCACAAACAATTATCAGAAGTATTCTGATCACTGTTTTGAATGAGAAAATAAGCCATTGCTATTCTATGCAAACCACAATCTCTCTGGAAGCTGCCATGTGGAGAGACCTGCACAAGATTGGAATCCTTTGGTTGCACCAACACTAACCCCAAAACACTGAGCCCTTTGCTTCTTGTAGAGCTGTGGCTCTGGTTCCCTCAAGTGACCAAAGGTGTTTTTGACTTTTTAACCTTTGAGAGAGGCTTTAACTCTCCTTGACCCTCCCCTTCCCTAAAGAGGGCATTGTGGTGGATTCATGACTGTCATCAGAGCTGTTCAATGCAGGACACCCTGTCTTGTCTTTGACTCATCTGAAAAATCTTTTCTGAGTGAGATAAACATACTAACCTTGGTCAAGGGAAAACAGATCGCTTTCTTGGATTCATTTTAAAACTGAAGATAACACTCCCAAGATGAGCTAGTGTCCCTTATTACCAAAGGGCAGACCCACTGCAGAGCTAAACATCTTAAATTCAGTAGTCGGAACTAAGTTTAGGAGTTTCAGTGGAGTGATTCCACGTCTTTCGGGTAATCGAGATCAAGCAGCGGTACAGGGAAATGTACTCTCAAGAACACATCAAGCCCTGCACAAATGCCAAAGCAATTCAACAACTGGAGCACCTCTTAAGGACCTTTCTGGGAATGTGACAGACTTAAATGTGCCCCATGATAAAGTGAGAAAGAAAAGACAGAAAGAATGTAATTTGAGTCTTCATAGCTGCATAAATGAAGGATGACCAATTTGTATTTTTTTGTGTGTGTTCGGGGAAATAAATGAAGCATATAAAACACAGGATGTTTAGCAAAAAGATCATGCTCAAAATCCAAGAACAACCCGAGGGTACTGGTCCTTCCTGGGGTCACTTAAATAAAATGAACAGAAATGATCCTGCCACTGAGGGAAATCCTGTCAGAGATATGGCACCTTGTCACCAAAAAGGTAACATTACTAGCTAATGAACCCTCATCCTCACATCATTAGTTTAATATGAATTTGTAGCTGAAAACAAACAAACAATAAAAAACAAAAGTAGCATGAAATAGGCATTACCTATACTTTATCAGTGAAGGAACTGAAACTCAGAAAGGTTAAGAAATTTGTACACGTAATAGGAAAGAGCCAGACTTAAACTCTGATTTCCAGAGCCTAAGCTCTTAAGTACCATATCAGTACTGCCTCTGATAAAAATTTACTGAAGTTCATATAGGAAATCTGTGATCACCTTTTCTAACAAGTTCATGAATAAGGGCTCACCTGTGGTCCAGCAAAGACACTACTGAGGGTCCAGGCCAGGGCAATCATGGCCTGTCCAACCTTGCTGTTGCTGTTCACAGCCAGGGGCCTCGTGATGGCCAGGAAGCGGTCCAGACTGATCACCACCATCATGAAGGCTGGGGCATACATGGAGAAAAGCTTCAGATAGCTGAGGACCTTGCAGAGGAACTCCCCAGCGTACCACTGAACAGTGATATTCCACAGTCCATCCAGTGGCATGACAATTAGAGTCTCCAACAGGTTGGCTAAGGTCAAGTGTTTTAAAAGTACCTTCATTCTTGAGAGCTTTCCTCCCCTCTCTTTCTTCCGAGTCCATTTTCGAAGTTTCAATAAGAAAGAAGCATTAAATGTTGTGGAGAGTAGAAAAAGGAAGAAAGTAACTGTTACTCGGATCTTTCCAGATAAGGTCAGGGTGGGGAGGTTACTCTGCATTAGTGGGATGCTGTTGTTGATGGCCGAGCAGTGATTTTGATTGTGTTCAAGAGAGGCACTGTTAGCCATATTTCCCACTTAGAGAACTTCAAGACTAGTGATTCTGGTACTTCTAATGTCTTATCATCATTTAACTCAAAGTCTCATTTTATTTCTGTCTTCTTTCGCTGGAAATGTCACCTGTTTAGATTTATGGGAAATTTTGTCCCTGAGATACTGTAGACTTAATGTAAAAGATCAAGGTGAACTTGTTTTGTGGTTTGGTAATCCAACAGAGTGCTGAAACAGAGCATGACTAATACATTCTGAGGGCTAAATGTAACTGTACCACCTCAGCAGATGGCCTGGTTTTCACAACATTTTTCCCAAGTTGAGAAAAGCATTTGTTTGTCAAGCCTAATTCTGACTTTAAAAGTCACTAATGACACTAACTCATATAACATTAATAAAAAGATTTTCTAAAATCCATTGTGTTAGTGTTCTGTCTGGCAGACAGATGCAAAATGAAAATGAAGAAAAACACTAAAACAAAAGAAAACAAAATAAATTTTATCCAGTTAAAGTCTGTCATCTTAAGAAAGTAATACACTTTTCAGGACCAGCAGTTGGCGTAATGGCTATGTTGCTGGACTCCCATGTAGTCGACCATGGTTCAAGTCCCAGACCTGGTGACTTAAACTCATGCCAGGCGCGTGTGCATGCGTGCCCAAGATCCTGAGAGGAGAATGGAGGAGAAGGGATTGTGGCGTGGCCATCTCCCCGGGGAGTGATTTCTCGCTTTTTGTCTCGCTGTATCTCTCTGTCTTTCTGGTGAGTGCACGTGCCCTATAGCAAAAAATTCTCAAAAAAAAAAATATGCTTAATACACTTTTCAAAAACATTATTATTATTATTATTTTTAACACATATACTGTTTAGCATCAAACATTAGACAGGTAAAAGGAGACTTCAAAAAGCCCATAGATGAATTAAAGTATAAGTTCATTGTTGTGCAATAAAATTTTAAAATTCGGGCATAATTTTTCCATAAAACTCATTTTCTCTGAACTTTTGAAGACCCTCTACTGTGTTACTTTAAAACAAAACACAAAATTAGGGCTGGCAGGTGATCAGGTGGTTAAGGCACTGGACTCCCACATGGCTGACCACAGTTTGAGTCCCATACCTGGTGGCTTGCTTTCTCACTTTTTCTCTCTCTCTGGTCAATTTAAAAAATAATAATAATAAATAAAATTAAATAGGTAGTTATTTTAAAAAACAAAACACAAAATTAATCATAAAGTTAGAAACAGTTTGATCTAATGCATATTCTGCTGCATTCAAATTTATAAATCAGCCTTAATGGTTAAATGATTCATACTTAAGTTAAAGTAAAAATAATTAACCATTCTTTTGTTTATTGCCTTGATTTTTGTAATTATCTAAATATGGGAATGGCTTTTTTTGCCCGGTATTGCATAGAGAAACTATATATTGGGCAGAATATTGTATAAATTTGGTAACTACATTTTTATGTTTATATACAATATGAATATCTATATTCATTTTTTTTCTTTTTTGGAGAGGTTTTTGCTATAGGGCACATGCACTCACCAAAAAGACAGAGAGAGACAGAGAGACAGAAAGAGAGAAATCACCCCCCAAGGGGGATGGCCATGCCGCAATCCTTTCTCCTCCATTCTCCTCTCGAATCTTGGGCATGCACGCACACGCGCCCGGTGTGAGTTTAAGCCACTGGGTCTGGGACTTGAACTGAGGTCGACTACATGGGGGTCCAGTGACATAGCCATTACATTAACTGCTGGTCCCATTATTCTTATTTTTTAAGAGAGATTTTTGCTATAGGGCACATCTGTTCACCGGAGAAACAGAGACATAAAGCTAGAAATCACCCCCGAGGGGGGATAGCCATGCTGGAATTCCTTCTCTTCCATTCTCCTCTTTGGATTTTGAGCATTAAACTCACCTGGTGTGAGTTTAAGCTGCTAAGTTCGGGACTCAAACAGCAGTCAACTTCATGGGAGTCCAGCAATGTAACCATTGCGTCATCTATTGGTCCCTGTTTATCATGTTATTTGGTCATTTCACATTCAGGACCACTTAGAAACTTTCTCTGTGTTTCTACTCCTTTGATTTTTTTATGGCGATTGCTTGATGATGCTATTTATCCATACTGGTATGACTTATTCTTAGAATTTATTAAGTCACCAACTTGATCTGTCTTATGTTGACTAGTTTGCTTCTGTGACAGGCAAAGCAGGAGCAATGTTAAGGATAAAGGTGGCTATTTTAACTTAGATGGTCCATTCTTCTTGTTTATTTGTTTATTTTGCCTTATATTTATTTATTTAACAAATAGTTCCTAAGTATTTACAGTATAGTCCCTTAGCCTCTTTTGGTGATAAAAATGAACCCAACATTACCCAGTCCATGGAAGCTCATTGGTACTATAGAAGATTAGATGAGTGTGTTGGACATACCTTATGTTCCTTTTCAAGCTGCTTCTGTGCTGGCTGCCTCCTCCTGGATCTTGAGCTACCTAGACCAGTTGCTTACCTCAGCTCTCTCTTGGTCACTACAGTATTGGAGTATTTTGGTTGTGATATTTACTGTTTTCAAATAATTAGTGGGAGAAATAGTTGAGTTGAAAACCATGAGTGATATTCCTTTCAGAAAAATGTAATTTATCTATATTTTCTTCTGTTTTTAAGCACAAATACAGCATAAATGATGGACGCTCATTACTGAATCATTGCTCCTAGGGAAAATAAAAGGTTAAGTTCTTGGAAGCCAATATACCATTTGCATTATATGTACTCATTTGCAAACATCCGTGTAAAACAAGCCAGTCTCATAAGTTCAGAAAATATGCTCTTCTACAGAACTGAAATAAGAAGGCAGAATGTTATCTTTTTGTTCAGCTGGAAAAGTGCACATAAGGCAACTCAAATCTTTTACTACTTAATGCTTACATGTGTCTGTAAATGGTCATGAAAGTTCCACAAATATAAATTTTGGGGCTACAAATAAATTTTAGCAAGTAGAAAAATTTGCATATAAGGAATTTACAAAGAACAAAGATTGATTATTATTGATGGGAGTAACTAAGGCTCTGTAGAAAATAATTAAAATTGTTTATTCTAAACATTAAATGCAGCAGTTATTTTTATTAAGTTCTGAGAATAGGAGACACAGACACAGTTGTAAATCAGCATAAGGAGTCTTTACATTTGCATGGCCCAAAGAGGTGGGACATCTGTAAATGAGAGAAAGAAAGAGAGAGAGAGAGAGAACTCTCCCAACAAGGCATAGTTGAGGTGAAAGAGGCAGGTCACAGGCCATTTGAATAGGTTGCGGTGGGCGAGGTCACTCTAGGGTCCTGGCATGGTGGAGCTGTGGACAGAGTCACACAACTGGCTGCTACCTTTAGACATAGGAGCTGGAGAGAGGGGGTGGCAGAAAAGAGAATCACTTACTTACTGTTCCCATGGAACACAGTGTGTTTGTGGAGATGGAGGGGTAACCTCACTGGCATCTAGTCTTTGGTTGAGGTCATCTGCTTGGCTGATCCCATAGGATGTGGGGAATAGGGAGGGAGGAATAAGATTTCTCTAGCAGCTGCTAGCTAGAGTAGCTGTGGGTGGGTTGCTTGCCCTGTTCCTTTGGGATGTAGGTGGGTGTGGTCACAGAAGGCTTTGTGTAGCCATAGCCTGGGTAGGGGAGGTTAGAACAAGGCTATGGTGTGTCCTTGACTCTTCCTCTGGGGCAGTTCAGCAATGTAGACATGCTGTGCCCACCTCCTCTAGCTGGGCTTATGACCTGTGAAGGTTATAGGATGCCTAAGGCTGTAGGATGCCCCTCTAGTAAAGACTTTAGGTGTCTATGGTATTAATGAGGCCAATGGGGTCTCCCACTTAGCCTCTTCCTGTATGAAAGTCTTTCCCATTCCAAGCTATCTCATTTTGAGAAATAGGGTCCGTAGATGCAGGGTGGTTTGCTCTCCTCCTCTACAAAGCCATCTCTCTATATAAAGAACATTCTAGAAAATAAGTTTTTGAGGGTAGCAACATTTCTTGCGTAGAAGTTAAAGTATTTTGCATACCGAATATAGTCTATATTGAGAATCTGGAGTTCCCAGTTCTCTTCTGTGACCCTCAAGTCTCCTGAGTCTCATAGCTATTATCTATAAAACTGAGGACATAGTTCTTGAGTTCTCCTTCGTGTTCAAAGTCACTTAATTTTCTTTATTAAAATGTGTTTATTTCTTCTTTTCACTAATGAGAGAAAGAGAGAGGTTCACCTCCAAAAGGATCTTGACACTGTGATCCACCCCTAGCTTCAGGCATATTGAATTGTAGGCATACATGCCATCAGCCTACTCAGGGAGGTCTCCAGACACAAACCCTTAACCTTCCCACATGGGTCAGTCTTGAGCATCATTTTTAACTGTTGTACTATTGTCTGGCCTCTCAAAGTTATTTCCTATATATTATTTTCTTATAGATAGTTTTATATTCACGAAGTGATCTATTTTCATTTGTTGGACATAACTTATTTAATAGTCATAAGAACTATAATTAAATTTTTTTCTTTTATCCATTTATTTAATGAGTATTAATCATGTGCCAGACAGAATTTTAGGTGATTGGTTATTGAGAAAGTCATACTGCATTTTTGCATAGGAAACTGAAAAATAAGTCATGACTTTCCAAACGACCTGATAGGATAAGATAGAGAGCTTGTAATCTCATGGAGTTTACATTTTTAAAATAAGCAGACATTTTAAGAAATGTTATTTGAGGGGCCGGCAGGTGGCATGGTGGTTAAAGGTGCTGGATTCCCAGATGGCTGACTGTGGTTCGAGTCCTGGACCTGGAGGATTGCTTTCTCTCTCTCTCTCTCTCTCTCTCTCTGTCCTTCTGTGATCAAATTGAAATAAAAAAAATGAATAAATGAGTAGAGTTAAATAATTCTTAAAAGAAAACTGATTAATTTGAATTCATATTAAAATCCTTACAGTGAAGAGTTAGTTAAAGAGGACTGTGATAAGGTCATCTTTTTTCTGGTAT